GCACCAACATGTATCACTTCTGTATTCTTCATTATTATTAAACCGTTATATATATATGTATCCAACAATCTAACACAAATTTTATACGGTTAGTATATTGGAATTTTGAACCAACTTTGATATGAATATACAGAGACCCAAAATTAGTAGAAACAATTCAAAAATCAAGAATGACTTTGCATTGGAAATGAAATTATTTTAACAACAGAAGTTATAAATGAACGAGTGAATTAATTAATATATTTTCAATTCTTGGTAAATTTCACTTTGAAGAAAAGAAATGAAACGGGATGAGAAAGTAAGCGAGAGACTGGAGATTTCACGTAAAATAGATAAGTCGTTGGGGTTTTATCGGTAGGTACTGATGACTCGTGAATTCAGCGGTAAAGCAAAATCGATTGTGAGAACCGTCTATCTTCAAGGAGTATCTCCCAAGAAAGGAATTACTCAAGAGAGAGGTAGCAAATTCTCTCGCAGATGGATAATATTCTTCCCCATTTATTGAGCCTCCATCCGTGCAGTTAAGATTTACAACGCGATCGGGGGAAAAATGTGAAAATGCATAAAACTTTAATGACACACCGATACGAAGAATATAAACCACAAAAAAAGGAATCAAGAATCCCATCGTTAAAACAAACTTATCGAACAACGGCTAACGAGCGAAGTATTTTATATAAAACATCGCTGCCATTTTGAAGAAGGTGAAATATACGACTCAGACGTTTTTAGTTTAAAATTGTGCAAATTCGAATTTTTTTCTTTGAATATTTTTGAAAATGTCCATTTTAGTGCATGAAAGTGCATGGGGATCGTCTATTCTAATAAACCACAAACTATATTTAAATAATACTATATTCCTTGTATAATTTCATCGAATGTAAGTCAGAATAAAGCAATGAGCACTAGATTATCTATTGTAGAAGTAATTTTATTTCAATTCGAAGTTCTCTGTCTTTATTAATGAAGATTTTCAAAAATTGCAGTGCATGAAAGTGCATGTCGTTTAAATAATATATTTCTTGTATAATCTCATCGAATGTAAGTCAGAATAATGCAATGAGTACTAGTATGTTTATTGTAGAAGTCATTTTACTTCAATTCGAAGTTATATCGTCTTTATTGAAGAAGATTTTCAAAAATTGCAGTCCATGAAAGTGCATGTCGCTTAAATAATATTATATTTCGTGTATAATTTTACCAAATGTACATATAGTATGTGAAAATAAAACCATGAGCTCCAGATTATTTTGTATAGAAGTTATTTTATTTCAATTCGAAGTTCTCCGTCTTTATTAATGAAGATTTTTAAAAATTGCAGTCCATGAAAGTGCATAAATAATATTATATTTCGTGTATAATTTTACCACATATACATATGTACCAGATTATTTTGTATAGAAGTCATTTTATTTCAATTCGAAGTTATATCGTCTTTATTGAAGAAAATTTTTAAAAATTGCACTGCATGAAAGTGCATGTCGTTTAAATAATACTATATTTCTTGTATAATTACATCGAATGTACGTCAAAATAAAGCAGCAAGCACTAGATTATCTATTGTAGAAGTAATTTTATTTCAATTCGAAGTTCTCGGTCTTTATTAATGAAGATTTTCAAAAATTGCAGTGCATGAAAGTGCATGTCGTTTAAATAATATATTTCTTGTATAATCTCATCGTATGTAAGTCAGAATAAAGCAATGAGTACTAGATTGTCTATTGTAGAAGTCATTTTACTTCAATTCGAAGTTATATCGTCTTTATTGAAGAAGATTTTCAAAAATTGCAGTCCATGAAAATGCATGTCGCTTAAATAATATTATATTTCGTGTATAATTTTACCAAATGTACATATAGTATGTGAAAATAAAACCATGAGCACCAGATTATTTTGTATAGAAGTTATTTTATTTCAATTCGAAGTTCTCTGTCTTTATTAATGAAGATTTTTAAAAAATTGCAGTCCATGAAAGTGCATAAATAATATTATATTTCGTGTAAAATTTTACCACATATACATATGTACCAGATTATTTTGTATAGAAGTCATTTTATTTCAATTCGAAGTTATATCGTCTTTATTGAAGAAAATTTTTAAAAATTGCACTGCATGAAAGTGCATGTCGTTTAAATAATACTATATTTCTTGTATAATTACATCGAATGTACGTCAAAATAAAGCAGCAAACACTAGATTATCTATTGTAGAAGTAATTTTATTTCAATTCGAAGTTCTCGGTCTTTATTAATGAAGATTTTCAAAAATTGCAGTGCATGAAAGTGCATGTCGTTTAAATAATATATTTCTTGTATAATCTCATCGTATGTAAGTCAGAATAAAGCAATGAGTACTAGATTGTCTATTGTAGAAGTCATTTTACTTCAATTCGAAGTTATATCGTCTTTATTGAAGAAGATTTTCAAAAATTGCAGTCCATGAAAATGCATGTCGCTTAAATAATATTATATTTCGTGTATAATTTTACCAAATGTACATATAGTATGTGAAAATAAAACCATGAGCACCAGATTATTTTGTATAGAAGTTATTTTATTTCAATTCGAAGTTCTCCGTCTTTATTAATGAAGATTTTTAAAAATTGCAGTCCATGAAAGTGCATAAATAATATTATATTTCGTGTATAATTTTACCACATATACATATGTACCAGATTATTTTGTATAGAAGTCATTTTATTTCAATTCGAAGTTATATCGTCTTTATTGAAGAAAATTTTTAAAAATTGCACTGCATGAAAGTGCATGTCGTTTAATTAATACTATATTTCTTGTATAATTACATCGAATGTACGTCAAAATAAAGCAGCAAGCACTAGATTATCTATTGTAGAAGTAATTTTATTTCAATTCGAAGTTCTCTGTCTTTATTAATGAAGATTTTCAAAAATTGCAGTGCATGAAAGTGCATGTCGTTTAAATAATATATTTCTTGTATAATCTCATCGTATGTAAGTCAGAATAATGCAATGAGTACTAGTATGTTTATTGTAGAAGTCATTTTACTTCAATTCGAAGTTATATCGTCTTTATTGAAGAAGATTTTCAAAAATTGCAGTCCATGAAAGTGCATGTCGCTTAAATAATATTATATTTCGTGTATAATTTTACCAAATGTACATATAGTATGTGAAAATAAAACCATGAGCTCCAGATTATTTTGTATAGAAGTTATTTTATTTCAATTCGAAGTTCTCCGTCTTTATTAATGAAGATTTTTAAAAATTGCAGTCCATGAAAGTGCATAAATAATATTATATTTCGTGTATAATTTTACCACATATACATATGTACCAGATTATTTTGTATAGAAGTCATTTTATTTCAATTCGAAGTTATATCGTCTTTATTGAAGAAAATTTTTAAAAATTGCACTGCATGAAAGTGCATGTCGTTTAAATAATACTATATTTCTTGTATAATTACATCGAATGTACGTCAAAATAAAGCAGCAAACACTAGATTATCTATTGTAGAAGTAATTTTATTTCAATTCGAAGTTCTCTGTCTTTATTAATGAAGATTTTCAAAAATTGCAGTGCATGAAAGTGCATGTCGTTTAAATAATATATTTCTTGTATAATCTCATCGTATGTAAGTCAGAATAATGCAATGAGTACTAGTATGTTTATTCTAGAAGTCATTTTACTTCAATTCGAAGTTATATCGTCTTTATTGAAGAAGATTTTCAAAAATTGCAGTCCATGAAAGTGCATGTCGCTTAAATAATATTATATTTCGTGTATAATTTTACCAAATGTACATATAGTATGTGAAAATAAAACCATGAGCTCCAGATTATTTTGTATAGAAGTTATTTTATTTCAATTCGAAGTTCTCTGTCTTTATTAATGAAGATTTTTAAAAATTGCAGTGCACGAAAGTGCATAAATAATATTATATTTCGTGTATAATTTTACCAAATGTACGTATGCACCAGATTATTTCTTATACAAGTAATTTTATTTCAATTCAAAGTTCCAATCTCCCTCGTTGAAAAATCCGTGATGAACTTCGAATTCGCCCCATTGAGCGAACAAGGATGCTCGACCGAAGTAACGATTATCAGTAGCGAGGGTTCGAAAATTCGTGTTAAAAAGAAAGGGGGCAAACGAATTTCCCTTGGTCGTATTTCAGATTGAAATCTGGAGCGGAAAAGGGGAGCACACGGGTCCTTCGGATTCAGAACAATATTGTCCCCGTTTGACGAATGAAGCGTTCCATTCCGGGGACGCGCGCTCCACCTGATATATTTCTGGTAATCAGTCATTTTCCCATCGCGCGCGGATCCAAAAATCGACGTTCGCCCTGGTATTCGAATTGCCAACGTTCGCTGCGCGAAAGAACGTAACCGAAAAGAGAATTTTCATTTTCGCGCGATATAAATCGCGAGAATGGCCGATATCGGTCCGCCGTCATCGAACTTCCGTCATTCTGCGTGTGAAGTAGACGAACGGCTTGACGTTTCTATTCTTTATCGTCGATCGTTCCGTTCTATTCCCATCGACAGAAAAAACTACTTGACAACGCGGTTCTTCGATTAATTGGGTTCGTTCGGGAAGAAATACAGCAGAAATTTCGCTTAAAATACAGGGTGCTCGGCCACCCCTGGGAAATATTTTAATGGGGGTTTCTAGAGGCCAAAATAAGATGAAAATCAAGAATACCAATTTGTTGATGGAGGCTTCGTTAAAAAGTTATTAACAATTAAATTCAAAAATTTCAAATCGTTCTGGAAAAATTATTTTCGGTTGCGGGGGTCAATTACAATCAGTTTTTGTCATTAGATATACCCACGATATCCTGGCCACTTTCGAGAAAAAAAATAGGGAAGGTGTGAAATTATTCGACAAAATTAAAAAATTGCAAATTGTTGTGGAAAAATTATTTTCGATTAGGTCTGGGTTAGGTCTGGGTTAGGTCTTCCTTCCGCATTTTAATGCGTGGCTGGACGGAGCTGTTGGGCGGCTTACGTACCGCATGACCCAGGTATTCACGGGACACGGATGTTTCGGGGAATACCTGTGGCGTATTGGGAAAGAGGCAACTACAAGGTGCCATCATTGCGAGGTCCTACAGGACTCGGCGCAACATACACTAGTAGCCTGTCCGGCGTGGGCTGGAGAGCGTCGAGTCCTGACTAGGGTGGTTGGTGACAACCTGACGTTAGAGGTGCTGATTGGCCGCATGTTGGATAGCCAAGACGCGTGGGAGGCGGTGTCTGTCTTCTGTGAAGCAGCGATGCAACAGAAGGAGGCCGCGGAAAGAGAAAGAGAGAGTAGAGGAGATCCTCATCGCAGAGGAAGAGTTGGAAGGGGCAGATGGAGAGGGAGGAACAGGCCGGTGGCGCCTCCCGACCCCTGAGCATCCTGCTCACTTGCGTTGGGTGAGCGAGAGCGCCTTCATCCCCATCCTCGATGGCGCGGCATTGGGCCTCATCGGGGATGGCGATCATCGCGGATCGTGGGCTGCCCAAGTTATGGGGACTTGGGTAGCTGTTGCACATAAGCGATCAGGGAGGGGGGCGAAGCACGAGTGGTCCGTGCGACACCTGTTAGAGAGAAGAGTGGGTAGATCCCGAGATGGGCGAGAGCATTGGCGTGAGGGGGCACTGGATGGATCGACAGTTCCCAGAGCTCTCCTCTATACGTCCAAGGAAGGCCACCGCGGAGGTTTTAGTGGGTAAGACTCCCACACTATCCTGGCATCCCAAAGCCAGGGTGTCTTTTTGAAGATTTCCTCCGCGTTAACAAAAAAAAAAAAAAAGGTCTGGGTTAGGTCTTGGTTAGGTCTGGGTTAGATTATTTGGGTTAGGTCTGAGTTAGGTCTGAATTAGGTCTGGATTAAGTCTGGGTTAGGTCTGGGTTGATGATGCTAGGTATATTATTATAAGGAATTATAAATGTAACCTCAACAATCGTAATAAGTTGAATGTATGATGAAATGGCGACTGACACACTAGATCACGCACACGTGACAAGGGGTGCAAAGGGTTAAGTCTAACGTGTATATTTTTAAATGTTTTAATTTTGAATTTTCGAACACTTTTCTGAGCCTGTGTGCTTCTTGCAAATACTTCTGAACTCGAGTACGTGTGTTTAAGCGTGTACTCTAGATACGTCCATAACTTTGTCAGTCACATTCTCGATAAGCGGATATATTGCAGTCTATGTATATCTAGCCAGTGCTTGAAACAAGTTGTCATTCTGCGTTTCAGGATGCTTATTGATAGTCTTACAATGGATGATTTGCACGGAGTTACCCGTTCGTACTAAAAATATTACCGAATCTGCGTTGCTATTTAGAGGCCAATAGTCGAGCAAATAGAAAAAAGCGTTTCTTGTTTTGATGAGTGAATTATAATTAGATAAAAGGAGCTGTCAATTTGGAATGCTGTAACTTGAGGTTGTATATCAAACAGTGGAGCGTGAAAATTTGCTTCCTATTAATGATATATTGATGAGAAAACAATATTTAACAATTTTGAATGGCAATTTAATGTAAAGTGCAATTAACAAGTATACAAAGAATATTTTTCACATAGAATCAAATGTATGAAGACAAAATTATGTAATTGAATGAGAGTCAAGGAGAAGACAATTTGATAAGCAAAAAATATTTAACAATTTTGAAAGAGAATTTAATTTAAAGTGCAATTAACAAGTATACAAAGAATTTTTTCACATAAAATCACATGTATGAATGAAAAATTACGAAAAATTATCTAATTCAATGAGAGTCACGACGAAGAGAATCTATTTTTGGGAATTAAATGATTATCTTCATGACTCTCATAGATCTAGGTTTCCAATTGCTAATAAGCATTGATCTGTGTCAGATCAACATAAAGACTCGTAAAATTACTTTCTCCTTCCTCAAGGAATCTAAACTACAAAAAGAATTTCGCTGTGCTGTTTCTTCTCACCATTCTAGAGCAAATAAATCTGTATCTATGGTTTCAAATGCTTAAAAAAGAAGGAATCAAAAAAGTTTAGCGATTGTTCGTCCGTTTATTAGCGTCGTTTATTTGAAAGCCAATTTAATACAAAGTGCAATTAACAAGTATACAAAGAATTTTTTTCACATAGAATCAGATGTATGAAGAAAAAATTATCTAATTGAGAATCAAGGAGAAGACATAGAAGAAGAATATCAACATGGATAGACACATTCGTGTCGAATCAGATGTATGAAGTAAAAGTTATCTAATAGAGAGTCAAGGAGAAGACATAGAAGAAGAAATTATCTAATTGAGAGTCATGGAGAAGATATAGAAGAAGAATATCAACATGGATAGACCCAGACCTAACCCAGACCTAACCCACAAAGCCATAGAAGAAGAATATCAACATGGATAGACCCATTCGTGTCGAATCAGATGTATGAAGAAATATTATCTAATTGAGAGTCAAGGAGAAGACATAGAAGAAGAAATTATCTAATTGAGAGTCATGGTGAAGACATAGAAGAAGAATATCAACATGGATAGACCCCATTCGTGTCGAATCAGATGTATGAAGAAAAAGTTATCTTAGTGAGAGTCAAAGAGAAGACATAGAAGAAGAATATCAACATGGATAGACCCAGACCTAACCCAGACCTAACCCACAAAGACATAGAAGAAGAATATCAACATGGATAGACACATTCGTGTCGAATCAGATGTATGAAGTAAAAGTTATCTAATTGAGAGTGAAGAAGAAGACATAGAAGAAGAATATCAACATGGATAGACCCATTCGTGTCGAATCAGATGTATGAAGAAAAAATTATCTAATTGAGAGTCAAGGAGAAGACATAGAAGAAGAAATTATCTAATTGAGAGTCATGGAGAAGATATAGAAGAAGAATATCAACATGGATAGACCCAGACCTAACCCAGACCTAACCCACAAAGCCATAGAAGAAGAATATCAACATGGATAGACCCATTCGTGTCGAATCAGATGTATGAAGAAATATTATCTAATTGAGAGTCAAGGAGAAGACATAGAAGAAGAAATTATCTAATTGAGAGTCATGGTGAAGACATAGAAGAAGAATATCAACATGGATAGACCCCATTCGTGTCGAATCAGATGTATGAAGAAAAAGTTATCTTAGTGAGAGTCAAAGAGAAGACATAGAAGAAGAATATCAACATGGATAGACCCAGACCTAACCCAGACCTAACCCACAAAGACATAGAAGAAGAATATCAACATGGATAGACACATTCGTGTCGAATCAGATGTATGAAGTAAAAGTTATCTAATTGAGAGTGAAGAAGAAGACATAGAAGAAGAATATCAACATGGATAGACCCATTCGTGTCGAATCAGATGTGTGAAGAAAGAATTATCTAATTGAGAGTCAAGGAGAAGACATAGAAGAAGAAATGATCTAATTGAGAGTCAAGGAGAAGACATAGAAGAAGAATATCAACATGGATAGACCCAGACCTGACCCAGACCTAACCCACAAAGACATAGAAGAAGAATATCAACATGGATAGACCCATTCGTGTCGAATCAGATGTATGAAGAAATATTATCTAATTGAGAGTCAAGGAGAAGACATAGAAGAAGAAATTATCTAAATGAGAGTCATGGTGAAGACATAGAAGAAGAATATCAACATGGATAGACCACATTCGTGTCGAATCAGATGTATGAAGAAAAAGTTATCTTAGTGAGAGTCAAAGAGAAGACATAGAAGAAGAATATCAACATGGATAGACCCAGACCTAACCCAGACCTAACCCACAAAGACATAGAAGAAGAATATCAACATGGATAGACACATTCGTGTCGAATCAGATGTATGAAGTAAAAGTTATCTAATTGAGAGTGAAGAAGAAGACATAGAAGAAGAATATCAACATGGATAGACCCATTCGTGTCGAATCAGATGTATGAAGAAAAAATTATCTAATTGAGAGTCAAGGAGAAGACATAGAAGAAGAAATTATCTAATTGAGAGTCATGGAGAAGATATAGAAGAAGAATATCAACATGGATAGACCCAGACCTAACCCAGACCTAACCCACAAAGCCATAGAAGAAGAATATCAACATGGATAGACCCATTCGTGTCGAATCAGATGTATGAAGAAATATTATCTAATTGAGAGTCAAGGAGAAGACATAGAAGAAGAAATTATCTAATTGAGAGTCATGGTGAAGACATAGAAGAAGAATATCAACATGGATAGACCCCATTCGTGTCGAATCAGATGTATGAAGAAAAAGTTATCTTAGTGAGAGTCAAAGAGAAGACATAGAAGAAGAATATCAACATGGATAGACCCAGACCTAACCCAGACCTAACCCACAAAGACATAGAAGAAGAATATCAACATGGATAGACACATTCGTGTCGAATCAGATGTATGAAGTAAAAGTTATCTAATTGAGAGTGAAGAAGAAGACATAGAAGAAGAATATCAACATGGATAGACCCATTCGTGTCGAATCAGATGTATGAAGAAAAAATTATCTAATTGAGAGTCAAGGAGAAGACATAGAAGAAGAAATTATCTAATTGAGAGTCATGGAGAAGATATAGAAGAAGAATATCAACATGGATAGACCCAGACCTAACCCAGACCTAACCCACAAAGCCATAGAAGAAGAATATCAACATGGATAGACCCATTCGTGTCGAATCAGATGTATGAAGAAATATTATCTAATTGAGAGTCAAGGAGAAGACATAGAAGAAGAAATTATCTAATTGAGAGTCATGGTGAAGACATAGAAGAAGAATATCAACATGGATAGACCCCATTCGTGTCGAATCAGATGTATGAAGAAAAAGTTATCTTAGTGAGAGTCAAAGAGAAGACATAGAAGAAGAATATCAACATGGATAGACCCAGACCTAACCCAGACCTAACCCACAAAGACATAGAAGAAGAATATCAACATGGATAGACACATTCGTGTCGAATCAGATGTATGAAGTAAAAGTTATCTAATTGAGAGTGAAGAAGAAGACATAGAAGAAGAATATCAACATGGATAGACCCATTCGTGTCGAATCAGATGTATGAAGAAAAAATTATCTAATTGAGAGTCAAGGAGAAGACATAGAAGAAGAAATTATCTAATTGAGAGTCATGGAGAAGATATAGAAGAAGAATATCAACATGGATAGACCCAGACCTAACCCAGACCTAACCCACAAAGCCATAGAAGAAGAATATCAACATGGATAGACCCATTCGTGTCGAATCAGATGTATGAAGAAATATTATCTAATTGAGAGTCAAGGAGAAGACATAGAAGAAGAAATTATCTAATTGAGAGTCATGGTGAAGACATAGAAGAAGAATATCAACATGGATAGACCCCATTCGTGTCGAATCAGATGTATGAAGAAAA